GGATCGGGGCAGCACCCTACCACGGAGGCAGCCACCCAGGGACTACCCTGGTGCCGTGGCTGGCCGCTTTGGGTCACGGGATGCGCTGGACCTAGGGGCGCCCTGCGAGTGGTTGAGCACCTTGCCCCCGCCCCATGGTGCCCGGGACCTTGACCCACCGCCCCCACCTCTGCCCCTGTCTCCCCAGCGGCAACTCTCAAGGGACCTCCTCTTGCCGTCCCGGCCCCTGGACTCTCTGTCCAAGAGCTCGAACTCAGGGGAGCGGCTGGACCATGTGCCTAGCCGGCACCCCTCGCGAGAAGGCCTTGGGCCACCCCCGCAGCTGCTCAGAGTTAGGGGAGACCCAGCCAGTGGCCCTAGCCACGGCCCCTCCACAGAACAGCTGGACATTCTCTCCTCCATCCTCGCCTCCTTCAACTCCTCAGCTCTCTCCTCCGCCGTGCAGTCCTCAAGCACACCCTCGGGCCCTCACACCACTGCCACACCTTCTGCCACAGCCTCTGCGCTTGGGCCCTCCACGCCATGCTCTGCCACATCCCACAGCATCTCGGAGCTGTCACCCGACTCAGAGTAAGCAGGGTCCGGCCACCTGCTCAGACCCCCATCAGTTTAGGGCAACCTCCCACGCACCCTGCCCTGTATTCTGCCACAGAATGGGGTGGGGTTTGGCAGAGAGCGTGGGCTCCCCTAGGCGCTGCGCAGCCAGGGCGCCACAGCCTGAGGGCAGAAATCTGGCAGCGAATGGGGTGATTAGCAAGAACTTGCTGGCTGTATGACTGGGGCCTGCACCTCCTGGACTAAGGAGGAGAGTGAGGAGCCTTCCAAAGGGCTTGAGCTAGTGGAGGGGGGAAGGCAGGAGCCAAGGCCTAGAAGCGGGAGGTAGCCTGGTATGTGGAAGGGGCAGAGAGGTGAGGAGGCTTTGCTTAGGGTGTAGTATGGGATAAGGAGGGACCAGAAGTAGTGCCAGGATGTAGGTGCCTTACATGCCAGGCTGAAGAACTTACTTTGAGAGGAAATCATTCATTCACCTACGCCTTCAGTCAATGTTAAGTTCCTCCTGCCTATGGGCACTGTGGGGTAGGACACACAGGAATTGAGTTGGGACCCAGTGCATCTCAGAGTAGGGGATGGCAGACATACCTGGGAAGCAGCTGGGGACAGGAGTCAGAGACGGAGTGGGGAGGAACCAGGAATTACCAGGTCTTGGAAGCCAAAAGCAGGGTTGAGTTGTTGTTTTTTTTTTTTTGCGGTACGCGGGCCTCTCACTGTTGTGGCCTCTCCCGTTGCGGAGCACAGGCTCCGGACGCGCAGGCTCAGCGGCCATGGCTCACGGGCCCAGCCGCTCCGCGGCATGTGGGATCTTCCCGGACCGGGGCACGAACCCGTGTTCCCTGCATCGGCAGGCGGACTCCCAACCACTGCGTCACCAGGGAAGCCCCCAGAGTTGAGTTTTAAGAAGGAGGAACAGCTAGGTCAGGCTCTGTGGAGGTCTGTAGGGTGAGAGAAGGCTTTCTGTAGGTGGAGGGGAGGAGACCCTGGGTTTGGGGCAGGAGACCAACAAAAAACCTGAGCAGAGATGGGGGAGAAGACAGGAAGGAGAGAGGGGCAGGAGATTTGGGGTCCTGGTGCCCAGGGCTCTGGAAGGATGCTGAGGTGGGGATGAGAGGGAGCTGTGAGCACCACCTGGATCCTCCTGCAGCCCAGCCTTAGGGTCCGACTGTTGGGGGAGGGCTGGGGTAACTGAGCAGGGGTTCAGGCTCTGGGCTCACACTTGACCTCTCTGAGCTTCAGTTTCCTCATCTGCAAAGTATGTCTGTGGTAGCAAACTCTTTGAGGTGTGGAGATTTTTGAGACAAAATCTGTTAGGTGCTTAACAGTCTTTACATAGTAGGTGCTCACTAAGTGCTTAGAGAAAAGACATTGGTGGCCAGCCAAGGGGACTTGCTGCTGAGTCTGGGGGTCCACAATGGGTGAAGGGCTCTGAGAACCCCAGAATGGGCATAAGCACGCTAGGGACTGAGAGGCGAAGGTGATGGGGAGGCGGCCCAGGTCTGGTTTGGTGGGGGAGTCCAGAGGCACCTGACTCTCAGCAACCACCTTCGATCTCCACATTCATCTCTGCAGAGTTCCCAGAAGTGAGGGTCACTCCTGAGGGGCAGACGTGCAGATGAGAACCAGCTGAGGGCGGTGGAGGATTTGGGCTAACAGAAGAGACTCCAGGAGTTGGGGGCTGACCCCATGGCAGCCTCCTATACCCCCGCCCCCCAGCTCTCTCTGTTGCTGCAGTGCTGACTGTCCATGCCCGTCTGTGAGCATGTGAGCAAGTGTGTAACAGGTGCACGGAATGAGGGAGCTGAAGGGAGGACTTTTATACGTTTTGTACCTTTGTAACCAGAGAGATATGCTTATGTTATTTTTCAGCTTTTCTGTCTCCCGGGGTTCTGAGGCTGGGCTGGGAGGGGGAGGGGGACAGAGAGAAAGAGGTGCAGAGTTTTGCCCCATTTGGGTCCCTGGCAATTTAATTGTTCTTTCATCTTACTAGGGTGGATTCAGACAGGAGGGGTAAATGCTCCCCCCGCCCCATTCCCCAGTTGATCTGAATATTGTCAGGGCCCAAAGTGCAGAATTAGTCTTTGCTTTTTCTTGGATGTCCCACAGGCCAAACTTTTGGGACTGGGGGTTGGTCTTGGAAACAGGGGTCCTCTGACCTCCTCACAGGGGCTCGCTCATGCCGCCCCTCCCCGTGGATGTGTGTGTTTATTATGTGGAGTCCCTGCCACTTACTGCCTTATGACCCAGGACTGATGCTGTGGATCGCTGGTGGAGCAGCAGATGTCATGTTTACAGATCAAGGCTTCCCTTTCTCCCGTGGGGAGGGGCTCAGGCCTCCATTCAGACATTCCTGCAGAGGGTGGATGGAGGGGTCACAGCCCCTGCCCCTGCTGTGAACAAAAGTTGTGTGTGGTGCCATTTAATTCCCTGACACTGCCCCCTGCTAGAATTTATTCTGAAGGGTGGGGTAGGAGGGAGAGCAAGGGGAGCAAAAACAAGGGAATTAAAGACTCAGAATGTAGGTGCCACTGCCTCCCATGTTTACAGGAGCCTCCCTGGCCCTAGGCACCCGGGCTGCAGGAAGTGACTCTTCCATCCCTCCTTTATTCCCTTGTAAAGGGAAAAATGACTGTTAGGACCCTGTTCACAAACTCTCACTTTTATTACTTTGTCTGATGTCCAGAACTGGGGACTTTTAAATTTTGTTACTTTGTTTACAGGTCAAGACTTAAAACATTCAACTTTGTTTACAATTTAAAACTTGGAACTTTTACACTTTGTTTACAGTTGAGAATGTTTTTTTCCCTTCGTTTACAAGTGAAGGTAGAGAAAGTGGGAGAGGGGCTTGGAGGACCCACCTGTGAGGACCCTGAGCCTGGCCATCTTGAGGGGTTTCTAACCCCTAGCCCTAGCCCCAGGCCAAAGGTCAGCCCTGAGTCTCC